GTTTTTGCAATTTTGATGATTTTTGGTGTTTTGATAGTGTCCCATAGTGCCCCATAGTGCCACAGCTTGTTTTTTGCAAATTTGTTGATTTTTGGTGTTTTTTGATAGTGCCCCATAGTGCCACAGCTTGTTTTTGCAGTTTTTGCAATTTTGATGAGATAGCGTCCCATAGTGCCCCATAGTGCCACAGCTTGTTTTTGCAGTTTTTGCAATTTTGATGTTTTTTGTTGTTTTTTTGATAGTGCCCCATAGTGCCCCATAGTGCCACAGCTTGTGTTTTGCAATTTTGTTGATTTTGAGTGTTTTTGGTAGTGCTCCATAGTGCCCCATAGTGCCACAGCTTGTTTTTGCAGTTTTTGCAATTTTGATGTTTTTTGATGTTTTTGGATAATGCCCCATAGTGCCCCATAGTGCCACCGCTTGTTTTTTGCAAATTTGTTGGTTTTTGGTGTGTTTTGATAGTGCTCCATAGTGTCCCATAGTGCCCCATAGTGCCACAGCTTGTTTTTGCAGTTTTGCAATTTTGATGTTTTTGTGTTTTTTGATAGTGCCCCATAGTGCCCCATAGTGCCACAGCTTGTTTTTTGCAAATTTATTGATTTTTGATGTTTTTTGATAGTGCTCCATAGTGCCCCATAGTGCCACACCTTGTTTTTGCAGCTTTTGCAATTTTGGTGATTTTGGCATTTTTATTGGTTTTTGATGTTTTTGAATAGTGCCCCATAGTGCCCCAGCTGGTTTTTGTTGCAATTTGTTGATTTTTCAATTTTGCTACTTTTGCAATTTTTTGACTTTTTTTGTTTTATAAAGTGCAACAGTTTCTAGCTCATCTTGCAATTTTTGCATTTTGTCAAATTTTGTCTATTTTTTATATCATTTTTTGCATTTTGTTGTTTCTTGTTTTTTTTTAAAAAAAAACTCATAACTCATAACTCATAATGTCACCCAATAGTGCCACAGATGCTTTTGCAAATTTGACACTCTTGGAGTGACACTCTTAGTAACTTAGTAACTTAGTACGACTATCAGTTATCAGACTATCATACACACAGCATCACAAAGAAATGCACTGTAGGTGGAGGCTTGAGGAGGCAACCCCTTCCCTAACATACAGCAAGCAGTAGACTCAGCTCGGCTTAGCCCTTGCCCCCGAATGAAATTCTGAATGAGCCTCAGACCTCAGAAGGCTGAAGTAGAAATGGACAGGCAGCACGTGCTGGCTCTTCACTGAATTGAATGTGTGGGTGTTGCGTGGCTTCGAGCTGTCAAATTCGGCGAGCAAAGGCTCAACTATTGATCATGTCTTGTACTGTTATCATGACAATAATATGACGACGATAATAATATTATTATATAATTAAAACTAAGCTAATTACAACTTGATACCATGTATGATGCGACATCCTGCACTTCATTGCAAATTGCAACAATGACTCGACATTCAAAATCAAATTCAAATCAGCAGGCAAGCTGGTCAAAGCCAACGTTCAATCAAATTACGTCGTCGAATATGATAATCTGATTATTTTATGCAAGCCCAACAATGTGACCTGCAAGTCAATTTGCTGACTGTTGCTGGATTGCAATTTTCCGGACTGAATTGCTCCATTTTCTGATAACAGTGCGTGCTCAGTCTCAAGACTAGACTGTCTTGACTAGACTAGTCAGCTAGTGACTAGTGTCACTAGTGACTAAACAAAACTGCTGCTTGCCTAGATTCTTCCTACTGCTACGCAGTCAGCATCCCAACTAGCCAACTGCCATTCCACTCACTCAACTCTCAGCTATTCAGCTGGCTGGCAAGCTTCAGCTAAAGAAATGTCAAACGCTGAGGCTGAGGCTGAAGACACAAAGCCATCTTGGATTTGGACCTGTACTTATTCCCAACCGACTTCATTTTTTTTGCACGCATCCATTTCATGCATGTTTTCCCGGGAGTTGGTGTTGCAGCTTTCTTTGCAGACTCTTTGTCTGCAAAGCGTCCAAAGGGCCCCCGAACTGGTGTTCTCGGAGTTTCACGCAAAGATACTACCTTTGCCGTTTCTGGTGTCAGTGGACCATCAACAGCAGTGTGCCAACTTGGAGTTGACATCTCTGAGCTTGGGGTGAGCTGCTGCAAGATCTTGCGTCGCAAAGCTGAGCTGCTGCCTGGTGAAATTGATGGTGCAGGGCTGGTAGCAGTCCTGAAAGGCTGCTGGCGGTGGCTCCCAGCAGCCACATCCACATCCTGAGGTTGACCCTGCCACCGGCGCCCCTTGAACGATATCTTTTCAGGTGTCTGGAACATATAGTCCATGTGGCTGCCACCGGTGGCACTTGAATTTGAACTTGAACCGACATTGGAACCAATGTCACCTCCTCCACCTGCTTGTATGTAAGATTGGGTCGATTGTGCTGCCATCTTTGTCGGCACTAGGCGGCCATGAGCAGGTGGCAATGCTATGAGCTATGTTTTTTTTGTATGTACACACTTATAGCCTGTAGCCTATATGAGCTAAGCTTTAGCCTACTGCTACCTCTAGAGCATCTACCTCTACCTGTAGCCTAGCCTAGTATAGTTTATATAGTCTATAGTCTATAGTATAGTCTATAGTATAGTCTATAGTCGTCCAGTCCAGTCTAGTGTACTCGTCGTGCTGCTAATCTGCTGCTAACTGCTGATGTGTCCGACTTGCACGTTCATAAACCTTGCTGCTCACTTCTCACTCAACTGTGTTTCACTTCTCAGTTCTCAGTTCTCATCCTCTTGAATGGGAAAGGTGTACAGCAAACACCCTCTGAAAGCGGCAGGGAAGGGATAGGTCGGTTGCTTGAATGATGATGATGATGATGATGATCAATGATGACTGATTGATTGACTGTCTGACTGTCTGACTTCAAAAAATCAACAACTTTGAATTGAAGTTTGAGTTTGAACGAATCAAAAACGGATTCCAAGAAGAGTTTGAATTGAATTGAATTGAAGTTTCGCAAAGTCTGGCTGCAGCCACAAGCTGAATCGGAATCAATGTGAACCTTTGCGCTGAACTGAACCGCTGTTGTTTTCAATGCCTGGAACGGAAAACGGCCAATCAGTCGGTCACTTGCAGTACTATAGGCGGAATCACGATGGGCTGTGAAATCAGTGGTGCTGCACTGAATGCAAAGATCTCGGAGTGACTCAAAGGAAGCGGCTTTGTAACAAAAGTAGCAGTAGCAGTAGTAGCAGTAGTAGTAGTAGTAGAAGAAGATGTAGTAGAAGTAGTAGTAGAAGAAGAAGATGTAGTAGTAGCAGTAGTAGTAGTAGTAGTAGTTTGCAGTAAACATTGTCAGGTCGAGTATCTACTACTTTCTGTATGATTCATGATAGTATATCAAAAACCAATGACAGACATACTGTAACTTATAGGTTCATGTAATTGGAAGCTGATATTCTGATAACTGATAACTGATAACTGATAAAAATGTAATTGATTGATCATCGATGATTGATGACTGATATAAAATAGATATGCTGATATGCAGTGCATATGCCACTGCTTCTGCCAATGCCTTTGCGTCATGGCATGGTGACTTCGGAGCTGTGAGAAATGCCCAAGTGGCCCAAGTCTCAAGTTGTAAAACTGCAACCATACCAAACACGGGCGACCCTTGTAAGGATCTTCTAACTTCTACTTCTACTTCTATTATATAAAAAATCTCCAGACTCCAAACTCTATTATCATCTGCTCTACCCGGGCCCTGGGCTGAAGCTGTTGCGCCAGCTCTGTGCAGCAACCACATAAATCACAAAGCCATAAAGCTAGCTAGCAACAAACTTTGTTTAGTTGCTAAATTATTTGCTCGCCGCGCCAACGGGTTTTCTACGGTGATACGTTCCCTGCGGCGCGCATGACACATGCTCAGCACCGGACCGGAAACAAAATGCTTGCCCCACCCAGTGCACCAGTGCATCCTCAGAAACGACATCCCCAGCCAGTGGACTGGTCACAAAGCAGTTCTCATGAACTGCACAGTTTGCTGCGATAGCTGCGGGAGACCAGTGCAGCAGGTACGACAATGTGCCGCACCTGCTGCCACCGCACAATATCTCGTTGCCTTTCCGAACAATCTGGCCGGGCAGCGGAGCCTTCACTACTAGGTCAGCCACAGGATCAGAACTAGAACCTGTCGGCGCAGACTCATCAGCACCATCCATGTTGCCGCTGTCATCCACATTGATTTCAGCGACCTCGTCCATAAGTTCAACCAAGGCGTCAGGGTAGGCAGCATATTCCATAAGCTCTTCATCATTGCCTTCGCCATCGCCTGGTCCTTCTTCCTTGCAGGGGCAAAGAATAGCATGGCGCAGCATGACATTGCAGGGCATAAGCAGAAGCCAGATTCCATTGGTTTTAGAACGTCAGCCGTCAGCTCATGCCAACAAGCCCGGCAGAACTCACATGAGTAAATAAACCGTGCTGAACCCAAACACACGACTTTCATCTAGACTAGACTAGACTCTAGACTCTAGATGACACTAGACAAGCCCGTGCAACTCAATGACTCAATCTTAATGCAAAGATTCAAATACATAAAGAAGTTAAAGAAGTCATAAAGTTCAGTTCAGTCCTTGTCAGCCACTTGAGCCACAAAATCCAAAGGGTCCTCCTGCTCGTCATCTTCAGCAGCCCCAGTTCGTTTTTCAACTGGCCACCTCATTTGCCAAGGTCAAAGGCACAGCGTCAAAGGTGGAACCCCATAATATATTATTATTATTATTATTTGAATTTGATATAATTATAGACAGACTATAGACTCTAGACTATAGACTATAGATTATAAACAATAATTTTCGCTTGAATGGTGGTTCCAAAATCGATTGGGTGTTCCAAAACCATATTCAGATTCATATGCTCTGCTTTTTGAATGGATGAAGCACTGTTCAGCTGAGGAGTCCAAAGCTTCAATTTCGTGCCTCATGAAAGTAGTTCCCAAATTGCCCAACATGGGCCCAGCATTGGCCAGGCATCAATTTCAGACTAAGGGGGCCACACTGCATTGGCCATGTCGATCTTGGGCATACAAAACTCAATGGCGTTGATGGACCTGTAGCGGTCAGTCCAGTCATTCAGTCATTCTGAGTATCAGTCTGAGTCTGAGTTGAGTCATTTAGTTCAGTGATCACCTAATAAAATGATAGACTCGGAGACTTTGATAGACAGACGTGACAGACTGATGACTGATAGATATGGTTCGTGATAGAATTGAATGATAAACAGACAGACAGACAGACAGACAGACAGACAGACAGACAGACAGACAGACAGTGACATACTACTACAACTGATGATATGTCGAATGACATGATTCGGATTTAGTCGGATATGTTAAACCAGTGCACCGCACCTGTCAATACCTGCAATTTAAAGTGCATTCAGTGCCAAGAAGCGTAGGTCTGTGCTCAAGCACGTTCACGGTCACGACGCTCTTCTTCATTTTTTGCTGACGTAGCAAGTAAGCAACAAACTCCCAGCTAGTCTGAAGATTAAAATGCATTTTGCCTGGTTTGCCTTCGACAAGTTCAAAGCTGGCTTCGTAAGCATCAGAGGGAATTGAGAACGACTTCAAAGGCTTGATAGTCATAGAAGCAAGTACAGCGCTGGCTGGTCTGAGAGACAAACTGGCCAGCATAAAAACTTTGCACTCCGAAGTGTCCATTTTGACCTCACTGGGACATGGTGCTGCACCAGCACTGCTGCTACTGGCGGAGCCAACCTGACCATATCTCACAGTGATAGCAACATCGCCTGATTGCACATATCTCTTTGCTGCAGAAGACGGCAACTTCTGGTCAATTTGTTTCCTGATTTCTTTCAAGAGCATGCCATGCAATCGCTCATGATTGCGGCAGCCACTCTCCAGTGAGCAGAAACCCTTCGCCCAACAAGGCGATTGGTAGGCATTCAGTGTCTCTTGTTGCATAGCAGTTTGCACAAGAGGCTGGTGTGTGAACTCTGGCACTTCATGCTTGAACAAATCCATTGACCTTGTTCTGTTAACACCTTGTGCCCTTGCTTGGACGATATCATCCGCCTGAAGAGGATACTTGGGACTCCCGCGATATCCCCACAACCTTAGGGTGGCCGAGAAATACAGTTCAATAGCCTGCCAACTGTCACGTGACAGTCAAGTCGAGTCAAGTCCCAGTCAAATAATATCAAAATATTATACAATACTATAATACTATGACTATGGGCTATTACTAATTGAATAATAAACTTCCCACTCAGCAATCCCCAATGCGAATTTCAATGCATGGCATGAATCTTAACCAGTGACGAAATGTGGCCATGTGTCATAGCTTGGGACTCGGCCCTATGAACTCCTGTCGTTGGTCGGCATCATCCCTCTCAGGATCCTGTCGATGACTGGATTGCCAAGAAACACGACAAAGGACAAAAAGGTGTCATATCAGTCATTCAATCAGTCAAACAGAAACATTCAATCAATCATCAATCCATCTAGTATCAGCACCATTCCTATGATGCGTTAGTGGTGATCTATTTTTTTAAAAGCTTCAAACTTCAAACTTAAATCAAAAATCGGTATGACTTGCCTGATCATCTCTCTTCCGTCTCTTCCTTCCTCTTTGTACCCTCTTTGACTGTGCTTTTATGACGCTGTTGCCAGAGCGCGCCAAATTGCCAAAGGCTTTCATCACACTCGAATCCTGCCACGGCAGATTAAATATCAAATCAAATTCAAATCACAATCTCAGCCCCGGTGTGGTCTCATCAAATCCCAAGCCTTCAGGACAGTCTTCAGCCATTCTTTGAAAGCAGGTGATGCCATGCCTTTTGCAATCTCTTGGCCTGGACAGTGAAAGAAACATGAATCATAATCAGCAAAACAAACCTCAGTTTACTGTTACTGTTACTGGTTTACTCCAGTTGAAAAGACATCAGTTTTAAAACATTTGTTGGTTTTGCACTGTCTGGCGCGGAAGTAAAATTCCAAGCAAACGACGCGTGAAAGCGACTGCAAAAGATAAACCGCAGCGCGTGAGAACGCAAGGGAAAGGCAAATGTAGAAACCGGGGGCAACCAAGTGAAAAGGATCCTGGGCGCGCCAAAAGTGTCTCCAAATTGAAGCTCTGGTCCACTACGCTTCCCAGCTTAGTCAAATCACTATTCTGTTCCTGCCCCAGAACCGGCTTGGCAGGGAACTCACATCAATCATGTTCTTCACTGTATCTGATCATGATCTGCATCCATACTGCAAATTTGACCGTATCGTATCATATCATAAGATACAGCCACAACAATTGACAAATGACAAGCCTTCACAACATGTTGGTCACAACAGTTGGCCACGTGAACAATTCTGCAGTCACTTGCACTGAATATGAGCTCCTGGCGATCTGTGCAGAGTTCTTTGAACCGCTTCCAGTATGCCCCTTGGGCCAGATTATATCCATGCTGCCGCCCGACCCTTTTGGAAGCTACTGCTTCTGCTGGCTCTTCACAGCCTCCAGGCAATAGTGCGCCCCCCCGGCTGACCAAATCAAATTTGTCGTGCAACGACTGAGCTCATCAGCCTTAACTTAGCCTGGCCTTGGCTTAACTTATTATTATTATTATCTATCAATAAGCAGTACCGTACCAGTCCATCCAATCCAACCGGTCAAGAGATCAAAAACAACACAGCTGCACTGCACTGAAATGACATGATCAACTGTGCGGCCTGACTTTTGAAACTTCTGTGTATCTCTCAATACCTGCCGACGATCCTTCTTCTTCTGCTTCTGTTTTGGCTTGCGCTTAGGCTGAGGCTTCGAAGGTGTCTCTCCTACATCTGATTGCCTGGAAACAAAGTCAGATTCGGACTTTGGATTCAGGGACTCAGCTGCGAAAAGTCTGATCTAGACTAGATCTGGTCCGGTCTAGTCACGAGACGAAACCAAAGTCCAGGAGTGGACAAACTAGGATTCCTCCAGACTCCAGATCTGATTTCAGATTCTAAAATTCTCAGGACTGTGCCTATGCAGCACAACAATCAGTAAGACGATATGCTAACTCAGTTGGTTATGATTGACCGATTGACCAACTGATTGGTGACTGACTGATCCATTGATTATTGATTGATTGATTGTTTATATTATATTGACTTATTGATTGATTGATTGATTGCTTGATTGATTGATATCAATGATTGATTGGTAAGATGATTGATTGCCAATACCGCCAATACCTATATCTTCTAATTCTGCTTCCAATCACAGTCACAATCAATTTAGCCAAAGCCAGCCCAGGGCCGAGTCGCTCAGACAGATTTCCGCCACCAATCTGTCTGCGGTAGCGAACCAATACTGCGTTGAGAAACGATTCTGAAGCCATCTTCAACCAAGACTTCCCTGTCCCCAAGTGAAGTGAACTTTCTGCCAATGTTCTGTTCAGCCTGTGGGCACACTCCATTTGGAAGATACCCAGCCGCCCTTGCCGACTTGCAACCGACAGCACGGCCACAAATCGCCGAAAAGCCTCCAGGGCCCAGGGACCAGAAGAATTTTACCGAAAAAGGTAAAGGCAAAGGAATGCCGTGGCCGTGGCCGATTCATTCATGGCATGAGTTCAAATTCAAGTTCAAGGATTTGCTCGACCTAGTCTGAGTAATCGTAACTGTTGCGATCGTAGGTGATGAAGATGTCTGTCAGTCACTCTGCCTTCGCATTGTCATTGACTGTCACAACTATAAGTCTATAAGATAATGTCAAATTAAAGTAAGTTTAAAGTTAAAGTTAAAGTAAAGTTATATAATTAATGACGTCCAGCTAATGGCTAATGACAAATGACTTGATAATTTGATCATGCAAGAAAACACGTTTGTGACGTGATGTGTACATCTAATCGAATCTAATCCTACCCGATCTACGCCTCTGGCTCCTCAAGCCCTCTAAGGCTCGATTGGAGTGGCCGTGAAAAACCAGGGTCCAGGCAGCAGGGCTGCATTGCCATGAAAGCTGAATAGGCGCCAAAACCTGTTTTCACAGCATTGCCACTGTCAACACATCACGTCGCAACATGGTCAGACAGAGTCAGACGGAGTGAGTGAAGATGTTGGTCGAGCAACAAGTGCAGGTCGAAGTACAACAGTTGCCGTATGCATCTGTATGGTATACTCTATACTATACTGTACTGTACTATATACTAAATAATATATATATAATATATATATAATATAATATATATTATATTATACTGTATATAATTATACTGGACTGGACTCTGTAATGGCAATCAAGGGCAATCATCAAATCAAATGCATGTATGAACCCTAGTCGTGCAGTGGAATGCAGTCCATGAACATTCCACTTCTCCGGTTTGGGGCAGGGCCACCAAAGCCATCGGGCTGTGCAACAGCGGGCGGTGCAGCCTTTCAACATCTGGTAATGGCACTGGCAATGGCCAATGGCGGCTAACATCTTAGACCACTGGCTGTCCGCAAAGCACCTGCCTGCGCCATACTGCTGCTGCTCCTGCGCTGCAGTATGACAAGAACCCACACAGGAATCCGTGAGCAGCGAGCATGGCATGGGTCCGGAATGGATCCGGAACGGAATAACAGGTCAGTCAGTCAGTCGGTCAGTCAGTCATGAATCTCAGTCCTGCCAAGATGGATCTCCGGGCCAGGATGTAGATATCATTGTCGGACACTGCAGGTCCACCACCAAACCTTCTCTAATGAGTGCAGAGCAGAGCATCTAACTCCGTCGAACTAACAGTCGCAACACAACAGTCAGATGAGTGCAGTCAACAACTGCTGCTAGGCGAAGCCATAACATCATAACATTGACTGACTGGGGCACTCACAGATGCAAGAGCCGGTCATGAAAGTGGTTGTCACAAGCCAGTGCAGCAAGCTCTGTCAAAGCTTGCCCCGTGATATTGCCAGACGCCCTCAGGACTCAGGGCTGATGTTATAATTTATAATGCTATGTAATGTCAATGACCATGCTCCTTCAAACTTCTGACTCTGCACGTTATTCCTCAACTACAACTTTCTTACTTTCTCAAAGATCGAAACCAACCCAACCCAAACTCAAACCAACTTGAGACACAGACCATTGTGGGAAACCATTCCCTCCTGCTTGAATTTCTTCCTCAGTCAAACTCAGACCTTAATCGGGTCAGGCCAGGCAGACGGAAGACCAGAAGACTGAACTAGTTAGTGACTGAGCTGTGACTCAACAGCTGCCATCAGAACTTCCTTGCCATAGTATGAACGATAGATTATCATGAACTTACTGTCACTGTAACTGTAACTTATATATACTTACTTACAGTTACTTACGAACACGAGCTGCGAACAGTTTGCCAGTCTGCCAAGTGAATGACGGGTGAAAAAATGCTGGCTAGCAATGCTAGGCTATTGGCTACAAGTCTAAGAGGCTATTGCCATTGCCTATTGTCTACAGGAACCAATGACTCCAATGACACCAATGACTCAAAGCACTGGCTTGGGGCAGGACTGTCTGCATTGAAGAGATACCGTCTGCAAAGTTCTTTGAGATCGCGCTCATCTGTGTCGTGGGTCTCGCATCTGAGCAAAGCATCTATCAATCATCGATCATCTATCAATCATGTCACTGTCACTGTGTCAGTGACATATCAAAAATCACAAAACTTACCAATTGGCAAAAACTTACCACTGGCATTCAAGAGCTGCTCATGACGGAGTATGTAAAACAGCAGGTGTCGAATTGGGCTATTGGACACCACGAGCAAATAGAGCTTCAGCGGAGTCATTGGATCGGCGGCCCTTGGCCGACACACGTTTTCAGTTTCAGTGTAAATTTCAGTTACAGTTTCAGTGTCACTTTCAAGTTTCAATGAATTTTCAGTTCTGAAGTCTGGAATGTATACTTTGATCCAAAGCCTGAGGCTTCCATTTTCCAAAAAATAATAATGCACATCTTGGAGTCCTCTTAGTAAGACAGGAAGACACTCTCTTAGTGAGACACTTTTGGAAGGAATGAATGAATGAATGAATGAATGAATGAATGAGTGAGTGAGTGAGTGAGTGAATGAATGAATGATTAATTGAATGAATGAATGAATGAATGAATGGGGCGCCGGAAATGCCAAAAAGTGGCTGCATTGCCTCATGAAGCATCCATGTCGGCACCACAGTCGCATTCTTCTCTGGACTCCGGCCCCTCTTCTTACCGACAATCAAATAAAAAAAGGCAATGCGGCAGTGACAAGAACTCAGGACAAGACCACGTTGCCAGCTTTGTTCTCCTTGTGCGCTGCTGTGCCCTATACGCATCTGCATCGGATTGTTGGACCTCAATTGCAGGGTCCAGTCCAGTCCCATCCAGTCCCATCCAGTCCAGCCTGGTCACAGATATCGAACAATCATCCCTGATCTACTATACTATGCCACCGTCTATACCAGATTGCTGGTACAAGTGTTGTTAGGTCCGGTGAAGGTTGTGCATATACAGTGGGTCGTATCATGTAGCTTATCATATACAGTGTGAAAATAAGTGAAATCAAAGGGTGCGAATAAGGGTGCTTATTCGCGCCCTTGTTTAAACAGGTTTGACCTCAACAGTTACACTGCAACAAACATCTGGTCCAAACACAAACAAGTAGTTTGCACGTCACGACCACATCGTTCAGAATGGTTTGTTTGAGCAGTGGTTCAAGGAAACCCTCCACGACACAAAAATCAAAGTGTCAGATAAAGTCATGTGAGAGTCTCAAGAAGTAAGGTTCGTGCGCCTACCAAGCAACAACTACGAAGTGTCACATGCCACGCAATGACGCCACAAACCCACAATGCACAACCAGCCAGCAAACACACAAAGGCACAAAGGAGCCAACACCGAGTATTAAGAAACAGCAGGATCAGCTCGCTGAGCCTTTACGTACAGTATACTATTACTATAACGCACCAGAGTCCAGAGTCACAGAGTCTCACATCATTCAAGACTTCAACTTCAAGAATATTCAATTCAATTCTCATTGGTCATGGAGTCGACATTCACATCTCGTCTCGTCTCATGCAGTGAGCAACTGCCATGATACCGATACCGATACAATTTATTTGCTACCTGGCCTGGCATCTGCAAACTTTGACCCTAACAACTCAACACCGCTGCGAGCCAATGACCCGACCCAACAATAGCTGAGGCCCCTGCATCCGCATCAGTGCTGTGCTGCTGCATGCTGCTGATTTTGTCATCTTTTCCGGATAGCGATTCAAAGAGCGGCTTCAGCAACCCGTGGCAAAGTGCCAGCGACATCGCGAAGTTAGCTACACTGGCAACCCCTGTCCATCTGCTCTGTGATGGTCGGCTTGGTTTTCGTGAAAGAAAAATGTGTCTGAACAAAACCGTCACATGGTGAGCAATTGCATCATGCAGCCTGTTGACATCTCCTCTTACATCATCTCTCAACGCCGAGTCCGCCACATAAACTGAGATGTCCGACGTTTGCCAGTTGGAGTAGCCGACCAGCCTCATTTCAAGCAGCTGGAAAAAATAACTTAACACGAAAGTAACTTACAACGACGACACAGTCACAGGACCTGTGTGTGCAAAGGAAACCGTTAACTATCAGGTTGTCATCATCATTAATGGTCATGTGAATCATGTGACATGTGACTGTGACATCTGTGACTGCACTGTTGTGTGAATCATGTGTACTAGTGTACTGCCTGCAACCACTTATCACTGCACTAATTCCTGACACCACACACCAATCAACACTGTAATTTACTGTAACTGTAACTGTAACTTAACTTACCTGCCTGACAAAAATCTTGAACCAGTGTCCTGAACAAGCTCAGTCTCCAACCTCAAGAATTCAGCAGCAGACTCCAGGAGAGCTGGAGTTTTGTTTTCCATTGGTTCCCATCCCGGTCCCTGCTGGTCATCGAATGTCTGGATATTGAAGTCGGCTGGCAGGACCCCCAAAAGCTTCATAGTCTCTTGGTTTGCTATCAAGTGTTCATCAGAACGAGAAGACAAAGGAAGAAGCTGCAGCCTCTCGAACACCAAGCGTTCTAATGATTTGATCAGAATTGACCACGTGGATGCGCCTGACATTTGGTTTCCGGTCCGGACAAGGTTTGTCAGAAGGTATGGTGGTTTTTTGGTTTTCTCACCCTTCTTGTCCGCACCAGTACCCGTATCCTTGCCCTCGTCCTGGTCTTTGCCTTTTGCCTGCGAGTCTTTCCCTTTTCCTCTACCTCTGCCTTTCCCACGACCCCGGCCAGCAGCTTTGCCCTTAGGCTGAGGTTCAATGGGTGGTGGCGGCATGTCTTTCTCTCCCCATGGCCAGGAGATTGGCAAGTCCTTATTTGCGGACGTGGAATCAAACTGATTCACTGATTGACTTGAAAACTCGCTAAACTGGACTGGCTCTCGGCTCTAGGCTAGACTAGTGACTAGTCAGACTAGACTAGACTATTGATCGATCATTGACTCTTGACTCGTGACCCTTGACTAAAAAAAAATCGGCTTAGTTTAGTATTAATTTCAATTTCAATGTTTCAATGCTTCAAGGTGTCTTTTCCGAACTCGTATGTCTGAGAGCTGCACCAATCGAAAAGTTTGCTCACTCGAGCAAAGATGGACCCCGTGGCATTGGCATGTGCATTCCAGAACCTCCGGAATTTTCAATTTACAGACACGTGTCCGAAGCTGAATCCTTTTTTTAATATTCTGGATACAAGGGGTGAGATACAGAGATACCAACAGCCTACTCATACATTACATTACACTGACACTGCACTTCGTTACACATCATCATAAAACAAATCATGGTAATTAGTAATCAGTAATCATGTAAAAAAAGTTCATCAGCGAATCAGCATCACATCAGAATTCATAATTCATTCATCATAATCAGATTCTGAATCAACAATCATAATCTGGTAAGAGTCAATAGTCAGCAATGGTCATTTGGTCACTCAGCAGCCGCAAGAAAAACTGAAGGTGTAAGGCTGATTGACTGACTGAACTGCAACCCCTTGAAGCTTGGAGCCAGGCCAAAGTGTTGTGAGATCTCTTGACCACCTGTGAGCATCGGCGCAATCAGCAAGTCCGAGTCCTGGATTATGAAATCGCTATTTAGAGTTCAAAGTTCAAAGTTCAAATGTTTGTTTAAAGTCTCAAGATGCAAGGATTGTCGGATTGTCTATGTTCAGAGTCAGAATTGGAAATTACATTGCAACGACGATCATGGAACCTAGCCTCGTACTTTTTCAGCAGCGCATTGGAGAAAGCACCATCTGCAACCAAGATGACGACGTGATGCTTGGCACCGTCTATGACTGGGCACCTTGCAGTAGCGAGCAAAAAATTAACCCATCAGGTCGGGTCATCACAGTCTCACTGAGTCAGTCAATACTGTCGTCAATACTGCTGATACTACCCAACATCACATTCAACCGGACCGGACCCCATAAATGGCAAACAGCAGACAGCGAACAGACTCAGACTTTGACTTTGTGACTTGACAAGACAGTACAATTGATCAGACTCAGACGTTCCAAATTCGCAGCCAGAATAATCACTGCAAATAGTGCATACCAAAAACTTCTTGGATGCTGCCAGTGGCATCCAACTATCCAGAGCAGCCTTTATTGTCGAAGCAGTTAGTCTGTGCAGACGAACTGGAGGAACAAGAACCGGCTCCTCCGTTTGTGTCTGAATTTGGGCTTGAATCAGCTGTCCACAAAGTCAGTCAGTCAAAGTCACAGTCCGGTCAAAAGTCTTAAGCCCTAATCTTGTCTAGCCGAATCTAGCCTAGCAGTTCCAGAGCTTGATCAAATCATAATCAAAATCATAATCATAATTCATAATCAAATCATAATTCATAATTATCATACCTCTGAGCCTCTGTGTTCGACTGTGACTCTCCACCTCACAATCTCCAACTGCAACTCATTTGCTCAGCTCTACTGCTCACTGACTCGCTCTTGCTATTGTCCATGGCTGGTATCGGCATCGGTGTCAGCCAGTCGAATCATTCATGCTTTCTGGTTCCAGGCAGAAACGACCAGACAAGCCAAACAACCTACAAATCAAAATCTGTACAACCGCACAACCGTACGGCACAATAAATGTGACCTCCATGAACAGGCCGGCTCAATTCTGACGCATGTCACGTCATCATCAGAACAACAGCCACGAGCTGTCAATCACCGGTGGCAGCAACATGTTGTTTCGGAGAACGCCTTCCTTTAACAACAAATGAAACGTTCAAGGCCAATCAAATTCTACGTGGTTTGGGAACATCAGAAGCTCCTGACTGGCTTAGAATAATGGCTTCATTGGGTCAGAGCACGCCATGCCAATTCAAGCAATGATGCCCTCAACCTCTGCATCATTGCAATTAATTGACCCTTATATGATACACCCCCGGCACTGAACACAGGTCAGGTCACATACCGGCACATACCCGCTCACTCCTCACCGCTCACCACTTCCCAAAATGACCCGGAAACAGTGGAACTGGGCTCTCCTAAATCAACAATCCAAACAGCTTCCGCTGTTTCCTCCACCATGAGACCAGCACGAGCCACACGCTCACGACTGGAACGGTCCGAACGGGGACCACCACTCCCCTGAAGTGCTTTCTGGAAATCAAAAGAAGCCTGTTTGGCCTTTTTGGCCTTTGGGCGCAGGACCTGATGAAGGGTTTTCTGGGTCGGCTGTGCCCGCTTTTGTTCGGCTGGCTCTTTGTCAATTTCAGCATCAAGGGCATCCTCAAGAGATGGCTGCGGCGGCTGAGGTTCAATTTCATGTGGCTGAGGGTCCTCCACTAGCCCCGGACCGAACACCTGGTCGCAGTCTGCTGAACCAAGAGATCCATCACCGTGCACAACGATAAAGGGAGTCTCGTCATTACGCTGCTGCATGGCTTAGGCTTAGACTGAGACGGAGTTAGGATTAGGATTCGGATGCTTTTGCTGGCTGGCGAGTATGGAGCCCAAAGAACTTCAGTCAAGACAGTCAAGAGATGTCAAGAGTCAAGACAGTCAAGACTTTTTCAGATCAGTGATCAGATCAGTTGATAAGTTGCGACTGAGAGAGATAGTTCAGTTCAGGGTTCAGTTCAGTATAGTATTGTATCAGTGCAGTACACTAGTCGCCTGAGTCTGAGTCTAGTTATTAGTTCAATTAAGTTGAACTTGAACTTCTTTGAACCAAATCAGTCACCAGTCACCATTTTGTCGTCAGTGTTCACCAGCCATGTCTCTGCCATGAAAATGCACAAACAAATTCACAAAAGAAAGTCCTTCAAAAGAACCGGCGCCGACCACTCTGGCGAATCCAAGTCCACAACCTCGTGTGGCTCACCAGTCCAGTCAATGGATCAATAAGTCAAATGTCAATGTCAATGAGTCAATTAGTCAATGACTCAATGGGTGCTGACTTCACCGTGCTGAGAAGAAGACACTGGTCTCGCCGTACTGAGTCATGATGCTCCTCAAGGTCTTTGTCACCGAAACTCAGAGAATCATAAGTCATGTCATGTCATGTGTTCACAACTTTTATTTGACTCTTTTTTCAAGGATTTTTACATCAATCATTAATCATTGGTAATGGTAATGGTAATAATAATAAATCATCGATTCATCATGTAATGTAGAGGCAGTGTGAAATATTCTTGTGGACTACAACAGTCAAGACAGTCAAGAGTCAAGAGTTTTAAGAGTTAAGAGTTAAGGTCAGAGAGTTTGTTCAGTCCACTCCAGTCCAATTCAACCCAATCATCCAACCCAATTCAGTTTGGAAATACTTGAAGCATGGCAATTGCAAGGCCCAGCAAACTAGAAATGCGGTCACTGAGCTACTGGCATGGCAACATTGGCTCTGGTCTCTGCTCTTCTCTTCCTGATGGATGCTAAATAATAAGACTGAGACTGAATCAGTCCAGAGTCCAGACTCTGACTCATGTGTCTGTCTCAGTCTCACTCGAATAAATTAAATAACACAACAAATGCCAGTTCGATGTAACAAATTATGTAACAGGTGACTATCAGCACTAAGACTAAGACGACTATATGGGTGATGGATGGAATGTGATTCGCCGATAGGACTATACTTTAACTTTGTCTGAAACTCTATACTCGATACTCTAACTCTCAGTCTCAGACTTGCGATTCCTGATTCAACACCTCTGACAAGTGCGACTCCGAGCATCGCCGCTAAAAAAGCTTTGCCTGCGGTAAGTTCACAACCCAGTTGGTTCAAAAGCGGCCCGTCTGTGCGAGTTTGAGATGCGAAGTCCGATACCGCTTGTTCCTGACGCTGCAGCTGTGAAAAACGTAATCGCAATCCGAATCCTAATCTGGCCAGATCCAATCTAAGCAATCTAAATCCCATCTGAATCTGAATCTGAATCTAAACAAAGAGACTGAGACGCCACAAAGAGTCACAAAGTCACAAATGGTAGAGACGGTAGAGTTACTAGTATAGACACACACACTGTGCACTCCTGAATCATGACTCACAAGACTTACAACATGAATGCACAAGCGCACGGGAAGCCGCAAAAAACAAAAGACTCAAAAGACTGTATGCAATGCTGCATGCTGCATGCCCATATCAGGCCACATGTCTTAACAAAAAGAACTAGGTTCCGTTTCGTCCCACATGCACAACTGAGCTGTGATGTAATTGGGAATCTTGTCGGTCAACTGCCCCTCTGCCTCAGATTGGCGGTAAATGGCACAGCCCGCACTGCCGGCAAAGCCAGTGACAAACAGCCACTGATAACTGATATATATATATGTATATATATAATATACTGTATACTATATACTGTATACTGTATACTGCTGATATGGTGAGAAATGTCGGACAAAACAAACCCTGTAAACAGTAAACAGTTAACTTTGTCAAATTCTTGGAAATCTGAATTTCAAGATGGTCAATCAATCAGTCAATAAGTCAATTTTATAGCACTAGTAGGAATGTAGTGAGACTATATTACATTAAGTTTGACCTACCGTACCCTGCAATCTGATGCCAGCTGAGATGCTAGCCGCTGGAAAAATTTTTTCTGCATATGCAGAAGCACTGTTGCTACGTTGAATTTGGAGCCCTTCAAGAACTTGACGTTGAATGTCTCCTCAGGTGGTACGTTACACCGTTACGGTATGGTCGACATCCAGTATCAGTATCAGTCAGTATATTGTCATTGTATGGTAAAAATTGTCTACAACTGAAGTGGATGCGGATCTAAAAACATACTGTTACTGTTACATGTCATTCGACTGCAGCTGCCCACATATATAAAAAAACCTGCATCACACATTCGTCAAACAATCCGATTCCAGCCAAATGTCTCCCAGTTCCTCTGTAAGTTTGGCTACAGGCCCCGTCACCAATCCGGCCCGCTGTGAAACTATGCTCACTGCAGATGTGAGGTTTGCCGCGACATGGGAAATGTGGCTCTCAGCTATCCTCCCTGGCAAAAACGCCGCCGCTATCTGAAGCAGAGCCTCAAAAATTCAGACGGAGACATGACATGCTGAAACGCCTAAAGTTTAAACTTAAATTTTCAGAAATCGAAAGGAATTCAAAAAAATCCCTTTGGAAAAATATCTGGCAACAGGACCAAGCAACATCTATGTCACGAACAGATGTTGATGATTCATGCTGCTTCCTGCTCCCAGAAGAAGTTATGCTTGATTGAGACATGGCCCGTTTCACTGCTTTTTTGCACCCCCTGGCATGCCAAACGGCACGCGTTCGAGCATCAGAAGCAGCCTCCTTAGGAGATAGCTTGACATAGTCCAAAGGGTCTAGACCCGCCGCTCGATCACAAGCCATGCTGCATGCAGCAAATTCAATTGAGGCGATGCGTGATGTAAAAAAAAAACACACTCCGTTCCTGATTTTATTGACCGCCCTGCCCCCCTATCATTGTGGTGGAGGTGTGTGGTGTGCGCGTGTCTGTGATGGAAATATGTTGCACGGCATGTTGCTATTGCTAATTGCTATGGCTGCGGCCGGTCGGGCAAGGTTGGTTGTGAAGTTCCAAGTGTCGCACCCAATGGTCAGATGATAATGCCAATCTGTGTTCAAAAGATACCACATGATTTTCTTCAGGTGGCCCCCGCCAACTAATATTTTTTCTAACACATCTTCTGAATACAGTACATAGTTGCCATTCTTTCTGAACTGACAAACATGCTGATATTATATCTGGCGACCTATCAGATATTCGTTTATTTATTGACATTAAATTAAAGATAGATAGATCTATATATATATATAATATATTATATATATATATATCTTGCATTATGTAACTTCTGACTTCTGACTGACATTTCATCTGGAATTATTTGAAGCTTTCTTTCTGAGATCTGGAGCTCGCGGTTGAGGTCCGGCACTGCCCACTGAGATCTGGAGCTCGCGGTTGAGGCCCGGCAGTGCCCACTGAGATATGGTGCTCGTGGCTGAGGTCGGCTGCGCACACTGCGATCTAGCGCTCGCGGTTGAGGTCCGGCACTGCCCACTGAGATCTGGAGCTCGCGGTTGAGGCCCGGCAGTGCCCACTGAGATATGGTGCTCGTGGCTGAGGTCGGCTGCGCACACTGCGATCTAGCGCTCGCGGTTGAGGTCCGGCACTGCCCACTGAGATCTGGAGCTCGCGGTTGAGGCCCGGCAGTGCCCACTGAGATATGGTGCTCGTGGCTGAGGTCGGCTGCGCACACTGCGATCTAGCGCTCGCGGTTGAGGTCCGGCACTGCCCACTGAGATCTGGAGCTCGCGGTTGAGGCCCGGCAGAGCCCACTGAGATATGGTGCTCGTGGCTGAGGTCGGCTGCGCACACTGCGATCGAGCGCTCATGGTTGAGGCCCGGCGCTGCCCACTAAAATCTGGAGCTCGCGGTTGAGGTCCGGCAGTGCCCACTGAGCTCTGGAGGTCTGAAACCCTGACCTGGCAGGTGAAGAAAAACATCGAATTTTTGAT